GGGACCCCCCCATTCTCGGGGTCAAAATTTTTTTTTTATTTAATTCGATTCTACACTAATTCAAGAATGTCTCTACAAAATTTCAAGTGAAAATCTCAAGAACTCTTGAAGATATAGCGGATTTATTGTGTCAGCATCAAGTGACGGCTAAAGGGCTTCTCAAACTTTAAACGCGTTTTTCTTTTTTGCGAATGGCGGGCACGATAACTTAAAAACTAATAACCCGATCGATTTGAAATTTTTACACGTTTCTCTGTGAGTGTATAGCTATCGTATGAACTAGGATAAAGCCAATCGGTGAAGATCCTCCCTATTTTTTAACTTGGTTTTTGGTCAAAATTCGGTGATTTTTCAAAAATATTTTTTCAAAGGTCCGCCATTTTGTTAATTTTAGAGCGAAGTCAATAATCCTAGTTCATACGAGAGCCAGACATGTACTCTTTCTAACACCGTTGGAATTTTCGGATTCCGATGATCCAGCGAGGAGTTATCATGCCCGCCATCAAAAATAAGGACTTTTCTTTAATTACAAAAAACAACAACAAAGCAACATCAAAAATTTTTTGTAAATTATTTTTCTTCTTTTTTAAATCTTCAAATATATACAGTGGTGGTCACAGAATTAAAACATTTACTGTGGTAAAAATTTTTTGATCAGCCCTCGATTCGTTTGAAGTACTTTTGAAAAATTTTTAATTCAGAACACTTCGATATACTGCACTCAAGAGATTTAGTGTGAAAATGGAAAATTATTTCATGCAATTTTTCCATAAATAACGGTTTTTATGAAAATGCATTGACTTTGAAGTGGCCATATAATTAAAACATTGTGTGATTTTTTACTTGACTGCATTTTTTGAAAATATTTTTTAAAAAAGCTCTTTAATTTAGTTAAATTATGTAAACTAAGCACCAATAAAATCATTTACTGATAAAATTTTTTGAAAAAATCTGTAAAATCTATCAAAAATGCCAAAAATGTATTCAGTACACCTTACATTCAGAAAAGAACCCTTATTATAGAAAATAAAGGTCCAAATGCACCAGAAATTGCTAGAATTAGTAGAAAACAATAAATAATTCTCAAAATAAATAAATATTTGAAATAAAAACTCAAAAAATTGGAATTAACCTAAAAGAACGATTCAATTTCGATAGCCTTTATTGAAGAAGGCCGGAATATTTTTGCAGTATGTGAGGAAATATCGATTGATATTGGCATTTATTATATCAAATCGATTGTTCGAGTAGTACAGAATATATTTTATCAAAAAATATACCAGTCACAACAGAAAGAACAGAGATCAACGCCTATGTTGACGAGTAAAAGTTTCTGCCACACAGCAGCATTTTTGATGCTCAACTCAAGACTTTAAATATTTGTCAAATTGTAAAATTTTTCTTTCTTTTAGGCTAAAATAGATGAAATGGGCGTTATTTTATTCAAAAAATATTATTTTGGAAAAATATTGTCATGTTCAATAGATTTTAAGGGTCAAGAGTGAACCATCAAACATGCTGCTGTGTACCAGAAACGTTTTCTCGTCGACATAGGCGTTGATCTCTGTTCTTTCTGTTGTGACTGGTATATTTTTTGATAAAATATATTCTGTACTACTCGAACAATCGATTTGATGTAATAAATGCCAATATCAATCGATATTTCCTCAAATACTGCAAAAATATTCCGGCCTTCTTCAATAAAGGCTATCGAAATTGAATCGTTTTTTTAGGTTAATTCCAATTTTTTGAGTTTTTATTTCAAATATTTATTTATTTTGAGAATTATTTATTGTTTTCTACTAATTCTAGCAATTTCTGGTGCATTCGGACCTTTATTTTCTATAATAAGGGTTCTTTTCTGAATGTAAGGTGTACTGAATACATTTTTGGCATTTTTGATAGATTTTACAGATTTTTTCAAAAAATTTTATCAGTAAATGATTTTATCGGTGCTTAGTTTACATAATTTAACTAAATTAAAGAGCTTTTTTAAAAAATATTTTCAAAAAATGCAGTCAAGTAAAAAATCACACAATGTTTTAATTATATGGCCACTTCAAAGTCGATTCATTTTCATAAAAACCGTTATTTATGGAAAAATTGCATGAAATAATTTTCCATTTTCACACTAAATCTCTTGAGTGCAGTATATCGAAGTGTTCTGAATTAAAAAATTTTCAAAAATACTTCAAACGAATCGAGGGCTGATCAAAAAATTTTTACCACAGTAAATGTTTTAATTCTGTGACCACCACTGTATATGCAAAGTTACAAGCCTTAACAAGCATTGGTATTGATTTACCAGCCCATTGAAAATCTTGAAAAATTAAAATCGAGAATGGGTGGGGTTCCCTTAATAATCAATATTATTAAAAATACATATTTAATTTCTGGTAAACTTGGAACTGAAAATGTCTTGAATATTTATTCCTACATCTAGGACCACAAGGTAAATTATGTATTTCATTAGATTATAGCCTCCATCAAAAGGTGTGGTGTATATTAAATTTGTCACTATGTCTCCAACAACACAAAATAGTCATCGGAGAATCCATAAAGTCTATTTTCTAGATCAGAATTAAATTCTATGATGATTTAGACATGTTCATCTGCTTGATGAAATTAAGATAAAGCTTTGGCGTTTTGCACATATATTACTACTACCGGTTTTAATACCTTCCACCATTAGTGGAAATTTATCCTTCGAAATATTTTAATATTGTCCATATGTCCTAAATGTCGGTTTTTATGGGTAGTTTTTGCACGCTTTGCTGTCATTTTTCATTTAGTATAAAATCTCCCTATTTGTACTTATAAATAATAGCCTAAGTGTGGGGTAGATCCCATGTAATGGCACCTCCCATCTTTCAGTATTGTGAGCAAATTTCTTAATCTCATTTGTTCTAATTTAATATTTTGGGTTTCCATTGGTTGGCAAAATTCTCTACCAAAAAATTATTAATATCATTTCATGTTTTGGAATAGCCCCCATCTGATGGTACCAACCATTTGTTGTTTCTGTAGCAGGCCTATTGCTTTTACACAGTGGGGTGACAGAAGTTTGCCGAGAAAAACTCCGGTCGTTTCGGATCGTAGACTTTTCGTGGAAACGCCCTCTTTGTGATGTATATTCAAAACGTTTTACAGTCGATTTGGCTGTAATTTAAGAAATAGATTTTAAGTACTGATCGATCTTTGATGTAGCTCTTTATAAAGGCACATTTCCAAAGGACCGTATTTTGACATTCCGGGACCTTGTGGGTAATTATCTTCCGGCAATTTACCTGCTCAATTTTAGATATTTTTATGTTAATGTCATATATAAAAGTTCGACCCGCTTGACCTACACTACAATACTCAACAATTTTAAATTATTATTAATATATTAAGTTTTAAACTATAATATAAAATTTAATTAAAAATAATCTGCAATTATCTGCAAAAATCCCTTATTCAATTTGCAGCACACCAAGGTGGTCGCCTTAGAATATCCATCGGTATGTCTGTTAAGATATTATGCGTGTAATTTCGAATATGCCTTGGATATTTCGGTACTGTTTCAAATATTTTGATAATCTACACTTTCCATGCGATTAAGCATCGCGGGGCTTGAAGTTCTCCTGCAGTACCATTTCAATATATAGGTCAATGTTACCACTTATCACCTATATTTAAAATGTTCAGCCTCATTTCCCATTTGAATTAGCTGTACGTTTCCATTTCTGTATGTTTGAACCTAAAAAACAACTTTGGAGAGATCAGAAACAAATAATTTTCAGTATAAAAATATAATTTATTTATATAAATCTATAATCTTAAAGTATAAAGAGCAAGATTTCACTTAAATGACTATCTTTTATTTTTTGTAACTGGTGCTGAGGGATTTTGACCGTTATAGAATTCGTTTAATAATTCTATTGCCTCTTCGGCGCACAGACCACCCTTTACCCTCACATGATAATTTACAACATGTGGAACATCAACAACTGCCTTGCCACCGAAACGATCATTTGCACAACCATATACGATTTCCTTAACTTTTAGATCATGCAAGGTTCTACGGTAACCACTACAGAAATATCAGGGAATACATCTTCATGATTTAGCCCATGTTTAACACATTATTCCGAAACATTCTATGCAAACAAATTCAGCAATGCGTGTTGCATTTTTGGTGGTATTAACTTCATTTGCTCCTCTTGCTATAAGTATCCGCGGTAAATAAATACACAACCAACTGGAACTTCCCCGAACGTGAGGGCATATCTTGCTTCAATAAAGGCTGCACTCGTGAATTGATCAAAAATCATTTTTTTTATTTGTTTTAGGAAAGTTTGTTTGTAAACAAAGAGAATTCAATCAGCTGTTTTGTCATTTCACAGATATATGCAATTACTCAGCCGTGTGGAAACGTTTTATTTACGTATCTTATATGTAACAGCACTTTAATTCGTATGCATATTGGGTGACAAATCTCGCAAACATAAAAAATAACAATATCCGTGCCCTAGGTCAAGGTTAAATTATTGACCTAGTCCCCGAAACTCCAAAATAGGATATTCGGGGGGTATTTGTACAAAAGCTAATAATGCCCTTAAGCAACGCGTGGTACACGCAACAGTTACGTCTACAGTTCCACATCTTAGACTATTTTGTAAAAAGGGAGCGTCATAAATAATTTAATGATTACGTGTATTATACTTCACGTATAAGCTATGGAATTTGCAATTGTGATCGAGTGGATTTCGTAAGTCTAAACGCACTTTTCAAATTTGATAGAAAAATCACAGAAATAAATGACAGCCCAAATTAAGAAATAGAGTTGCCACTAACTCTACCCAACTGCACACACATTAACGCCGTTCACACTTTACAGCGGCTTGGTTTTCTTTCTCTCTCTTGCCGTACGTACATTCTCTCACACAGAATTAATAAATTTTCAAATTGTTTACAACCATAAACAAAAAACCTAATAAATCTTATTGAAATTAAATAAAATGTCAGCTGCTAAGGTGGTAAATAGAATATTCATAGATTTTCTTTGTTAATTAAAGAACTTTTTCTCATAGCCAAATGAATCGAAGGATGCGACGGCAGCAGCAGATGATGTCTGGGATGACACGCTTTTGATAAAAGCTTATGATGATTCCGTTAAGTTGGCTCGGGAGGAATTGGCGCGTCGCATATCACTATCGACCAGTAAGAAAAGCGATACCAACGACACCAGTGAGGGTAAAAAATCCAAGTCCAGCGGTAGTGGTGCCGGTACTGCTGCCGGTGGCACTTTGGAAAATATTGCATCTCATGCTGAATATAAAGTTGGAGATTATGTTCGAGCCACCTATGAGGATGGCATCGATTATGAGGCAAAAATAATGTCCATCGATAAGGAGGCGGGCACTTGTCTTCTAAAATATATCGGCTATGATAATGTCCAAGAGGTGGCATTGTGTGATCTTATTGCTTCGTGGGGCAAGAAATATCGACGTTTACAATTCGCCAAGGCTAAACTTGAAGCTGAGACAACAGCACCGGATGATGCTGTTAATGTCACTTGTCCCAGTACCAGTGGCAAGACGGCAAAGAAAATTAAAACAAAATTAAGTAAATCCACAATGCCTCCCCCGCCTCCAATACCACCTATGTTGACTGCATCTCATAATGCCGAAGATTCGGAACATTTATCGGCAATGTTAATGTCATGGTATATGAGTGGCTATTATACGGGTGTATATCAGGGTATGCAAATGGCAAAATCGAAGACAAAGAAGTAAATTTGTTTTAAAAGTTTACTCGACGATGACATGAAAAATGAGAATATCAGCAACTTTTCTTTACAATTTTCTTTTTCTTTATGAATTATTAGTATTTAAAGTTTACTATTATTACAATTATTATTATTATTAGCTGGACTTATATGAAATAAAATTGAATTACAAATGTGTATGTAAAAACAAATAGTTGTAGCATTTATAACTATTTCAAAATCAAATGTTATGTTCCTTGAGGCATGTCAGGCTCTTCTGGCATATGATTTTGGTTTTAGACCAAGATTTGAAATTCTTAATTGGTACTCCTTAAAAAATATCCGCTTTGGTTATTTTGAATTATTACAGAAGTAGTCATCCGAATTATTACCTGATGTATAGCTTCCCACCGCATGATCTTTACGATCAATATAGGCAGGGAAAGGGCCTTGGTGGTGCAAAAGAGAGCCTCTCCATTGGCAGGTCTATCAATATTTCAGTATACATATCAAGAATCCTTGGACAACATTCGCCACCGATTGCAGCAGAAATGTAGCAGCTACCGAGACAAACTGGAGAGGTTCTTGCAGAAACTAAATCAGGTTGTTTTGCCCGCCTCAGGTCGTATTGATTTCAGACTGTCTAATGACATAATATAAATTATGTACCGAATTTTGTCGGTCTGATCCATGCTACCTGTTTATTTGAATCTTAAATTGATTATAATGGTGTATGGCGATTTTTTCCTTACCGGTATTATAATTTTTTATACAAATTGTCATTTAACATTAAAATGGTGTATTTATATTTTATTTTTTATATACTTTGTATTTTTAAAACAATATTTAAATAATTTAATCCTAAATAAGCAGCGTTCTCTTCGATAAATCCTCCTTTCCTTTCGTGCAAACCACAATTCCAGCAAAAGCACAAATGCACTGACAGTCCAACCAATCTCCAATTGCATCCAAATTCAGAAGAGATCAGTAACGGTTAAAAATGCCATTTCCACGCTGGGATTTACATTTTTCAAAGAACATTTCTTGAACTTTAGTAAATCTGTATATACACTGCGCAGCCATGCCTCGGGCAACCCATAAGCATGAACTAAATGAATTAAAGAATACTTTGAGTAAGAATACTTTTAAAATCCATGAATTGAGAAATATTTTAGAGGGTAATAATCTTGGCATTTTTGGCGTGACAGAAACTTGGTTAAAGCCTATTGTTTCCACAGAAGCTATACAAATACCAAGTTATTTTTGTTATAGGAGTGATCGTCCTTGTAATAGAGGAGGTGGTGTTGTAATGTATGTTTCTCAGAATATTAAACATAAATTTGTGTGCAGAGGAAGTTCTTATGGAGTTGTTGAATATGTTTTCTGCGAGGTAATTGTAAGCAATTGTGTGTTTCTTGTTGGTGTGGTTTATTTGCCACATGGCGATATTGTGGCTTTTGAAAATGAAATTTCTGATCTTGTTGTTAGGTACTCAAATGTTATTATTATGGGAGATTTCAATAACAATATGTTTGATCTGCAGCGAAGTTTAGTTGTAAGGGAAATTTGTAGCAGATTAAATTTATCTGTTGTCCACAACTCAATGCCCACACACGTCGATATTGCGCATACCTCTACTTCTTTGTTGGATTATTTTTTTGTATCGTGTCTGAGTTTGGTAGCATGTTCAAATCAGTTTTTGTGCCCTGGTATTTCTGATCACTCGTTCATCTTTCTATCAATTAATGTTCCCAGTTTTTGTGTGCAGAGTTTTTATGAATATGCAGATTTCAGTTCTGTTGATCCTGTGGCGCTTTCCAGCGCCTTTGATACATACAACTTTGGTGAGCTTTATTCTGTGGCAGATGTTGATGCCCAGCTTGATATATTGAATTGTGGTCTTCGGCACTTGTATAGTGTTGTTCTTGTTAAAAGGAGATTTTGTAAAATTAATAAAGATGACTGGTTTAAGTCTGCTGAAATTCGGTATCACTTGTCTCTTCGTGACATTTCTTATAGGTCCTATCTTCGGGACAAAAGTGTTGAAAATTGGAAATTGTTTTGTCGCTGTCGTAACCGAGCCAAAAAAATTATAAGAAAACTAAAATTTATTGCTCATAGGGATATGTTTTCTAATAAATCCACAAAAAGTGTGGTCAATTTTAAATAAAAACGGTTTATGTACTGATGACAGAGAAGTCGGGAATGTTGATGTTGAAGCTCTGAATTCAGCTTTTGTTTCGAATCAATCCGTAGATGTTTTTGATGATTCTTGTATTCCTGTTGATGCTTTTGATGGGTTTTCCTTTCGTGCAATTGATTATGCTGAGATTGTTGATGCTTTCAATAAAATCAAGTCCACGGCAGTTGGTTATGATGGATTTCAGCTAAAATTTCTAAAGCTTGTTTTTCCCCTTGTTGGTCAATTTTTGTTGCACGTTGTCAATTCTATGTTAACAATGTCTGTGTTTCCAGAGATGTGGAAAATTGCAAAAATAGTGCCTATTCAAAAAAAGAATGGTGATTCTAGTGAGTATAGGCCTATATCTATAATGCCGATTCTTTCTAAAATGGTTGAGTATGTCATGAAAGATCAAATGCTAGTTTATATTGGTGAAAATTCTCTATTACATGAGAGCCAGTGTGGATTTAGGAGTAATCGCGGCACTGCATCTCTTCTTGTTGGATTGACTGACAATATAAGGAAGACTGTTGGTGCGGGAGGTTGTTGTGTGTTGTTGTCAGTAGACTTAGAGAAAGCCTTTGACAAAATTAATCACGCTAATTTAATCAGAAAATTTCATCGTTTGTTCAATTTTTCGTCCTCAGCTTGTAAGCTTATTTCGTCGTATTTGTTTGGAAGGAAGCAGTATGTTTGTTGTAGGAATGTTGTTTCTGGAATGCTCCCTGTGAGTAGTGGTGTACCCCAGGGGTCTGTACTTGGGCCTCTATTGTTTGTTATGTATGTTAATGATTTGCTAAGTTGTATTAGTAGTAGGAGCTGTATGTCATTTGCATTTGCTGATGACTTGCAGATTTTGTTTAAAGGAGAATATGTGTTTTTAGATGTTTTGCAGTCCTCTATACATTTTAATATCAATGTGTTAGTAACGTGGTTATCTGCAAACGGACTCTCAATTAATACACGAAAGAGTAAAGCTATGTTTTTTGGGAATTTGCAAGAGAATTCAGTAAATGTTTCCATTTATAATAATTCTATAAATGTTGTAAGCTCTATGAAATGTCTTGGTTTGTTTCTTGATAGTAGTTTGGTGTTTGATGTGCATGTTAATTCTTTGGTGTCCAAGGTAAACTTTATTTTAAGAAAGTTGTACTCTTTGGATATGGCTCCACCTAAGAGCATTAGAATTCAATTGGCCAAATTTTTTGTATTGTATTGAGATTTTTGGGGGTTGTTGTGGATATGTATTACGTAAAATTAAACTCTTGTTCCATAGGGTTATGCGATATGTATATTGTGTTAAACGTCGTGATCACATTTCTCCTTACGTTAAAGAGTTCCTCGGTTGTACCTTTGAAAGTTTTGTGAGTTTAAGGTCAATGTTGTTGTTCTATAAGGTATTTAAGTTGCAGACTCCTTCCTCTGTAGTTGATTTGTTTATGTTTTCTAGATCTGTTAGAAACATACAAATACTTGTTCCGCGTTTGTGTCCTTTATTGGAAAAAGCCTTTTTTGTACGAATTGCTAGAATTTTTAACACCTTACCGCCTTCTCTTAAAACTTTTAACTCTTCCTTAAAATGTTATCGAACTCATTTATACGATTACTTCAACCTCAATTCATCTTAAATTCATGGGTTTTGCTTATTTGTTTGTGTTTTTATTGCATAACTGATTTCAACATTTAAATAAATATAACTATAATAAATTATATTTTTTTATTGATAATTGTGATATAATAATAAGATATTTGAACCTGTAAATTGAATTTAGTGGTTGAGAGTAGATATAATATTGAAGTCCTTTGCCCTATGTGATAGGTCGCTACATCAAATAATGGAATAATAATAATAATAAAAATGTTTTTGAAGTACAATGGTTCTGAACCCCTCCAACTGAATAGACGTTAAGTTATCATTAAGCTAATACACTGTTAGTTTTAAGCTTTTGGAGTAGTTTATTTTTTGTTGTTTTTTGAATCGCTTTTGGCCCTTTGGGCTAGATTCTCGTTTATAAAATAAATTGAAATTGAAATTAAATAATTCAATGGTTCCATAAGCGGAGAATTGAATTGTAACTTAAAGCCCCACAGTGTCACGTGCAATATAAACAAATCGCGCGGTGTGTGAAATAGTTTGTGCGAAAAATAATTTTGTATCTGCGTGTATAGGTTCCATGGTGCAGTTCGTACCAAATAACAATAGGTTGTATTAAAATCCCGCCAGACATTCAAAAAGTGTGTGATATTTGATTCATGCATCGTCAATATCAATGAGTATAGTTTCAAATCATCTAATGTCTGAATCTGAGAATGATATGGTGGTGTGGTATAGAGACTATTCATTCGGGCCGAAAATTGTGTACACGCATTCAAGCCGATAAAACCAATCAGAATATAAACAACTCTGTGGCTTAGTAATTTTGATGAACGCATATGAAAGGAGTAGCCCAGAATGCCGGGAAATACTTTGACATTTAATGCTAAATTCAAATACTGCCAAGCTCCATCCAGATAATAATTCAAAATACAAATTGACCAGGGATATTAGAAAATAACATGATAACATACAGCCAAAAAAATAAAAATCCAATAGAATACCAAATATTTCACGTAACAAATACGGGTTGGAAAGTGGTACTATTATTATCAATTTCATAGACATCAGATATATTAAGCCAGCTATTGCTATAATAACCACACAAAGGCATATCATTGATTACGCCATAGTGTGGAATATTGTTATCCTGATTTTCGAGAGGTTCATACATTTTCAAGGTGGCATTGAAGTACTCGACAAATAGTATTACCATCCTGGCCACTAAACCATTTACCTTGATTTTTTGCTTTTCATCGTGCTACCACAAAGGTAGTCAGCGTGGTATTTTGTAAATTCTTCCAATGTTGAGGATAGTAGAGGGTATTGTTTCCAAATAAATTGTAACTTTTCCAATGGAATTTCGGAAAAAGGATCAATGAAATAATATTGATGTTTCAATTCAATAAAATGTAGTATGGCATTTGTCATTTTATATTTTCGACAATGATACAGTACTAGCTCTTGGAAATTTTCCAAATCCATGACATTTTCCACTAGCCATATAATACGTACCTGCCGCATATAATTCAATGTTTTCGCAGTGTCCTCCATAATTTCCATATCCATTGGACGGGATATCATAATGACAATCAACATGTTTGAATTTCCAATTTCCGTTTTGTAATTTACTTTTAAATCCTTGGTTAATGTTATTTTTTGTAAAATAATTTGATAGAGTATTTTAAGGCCTGCAGCTTCCATGTGGTTATGTTGAATAATAAATAAACCTTCATAGGTTTTTTCTTGCCAAATATTCCAAAGTAATTTTCCATACTTATCATCAGCGTGGTATGGGACATACGTATTCTATGGCTAGTGGAAAATGTCATGGATATGGAAAATTTCCAAGAGCTAGTACTGCAACAATGTCGCAAATATAAAATGACAAATGCCCTACTACATTTTATTGAATTGAAGGATCAATATTATGGGCTTAAACCATATCCCAAATATCACTGGAAAATAGGCAACTTATTTCGAAATAATACCATCTACTACCCCCAACATTGGAAAAATTTACAAAATACCACGCTGACTACCTTTGTGGATTTAGTAGCTCCTCGTTCTATTACATATCGCGATGAAAAGCAAAACATCAAGGTAAATGGTATGGTGGCCAGGATGGTAATCCTATTTGCCGAGTACTTCAATGCCACGCTACAAATGTATCAGCCGCTGGAATATCGGAATAATAATATTCCACACCTTGGCGTAATGATGTGGTTGACGATAATCTTGTAGATATATCCATGTCTTTGGAAAATTATTATGAAAATCGTGGGCGAAATATGTCTGATGTCTATGAAATTGATCAAATTATGATAATGGTGCCACTTCCCAATCCGTATACTTTACGTGAAATATTCGGTATTCTATTGGATTTCTATTTCTTTGGTTGTATGTTATCATGTTATTTTCTAATATCTCTGGTCCATTGTGTTTTGGATTATTATCTGGATGGAGTTTGGCATTATTTGAATTTAATATTAAATACTAAAGTATTTCCCGGTATTCTGGGCTACTCCTTTCAAATGCGTTCATACAAATTACCAAGCCACAGAGTTATTTATGTTCTGATTGGTTTTATCGGCCTAAATGCGTGTACACAATTTTCGGCCCGAATGAATAGTCTCTATACCACACCACCATATCATCCTCAGATTCAAACATTCGATGATTTGAGACGATCTAATATAAAATTACTCATTACTATTGACGATTTAGGGAGATTAAAATTAGTTTTTCCTAAAGTGAAGATAAACATGGTTTACGCAAATATCACACACATTTTGGAAGTTAGACGGCATTTTAATACATAATATATTCAAGCAAGCAGTATAATATATTCAAGCAATGAGGAAAAACATGACACATGTGACTCCAGACTCAATGGGATCACACCAAACAACATGGACTAGACAATCATAATTTATATGAACTCGTGCTCATTTAGTAGAAATTAATGTAAAAACGTCCTTTCCTCATTTATTGTAGAACTATTTATTCACTTAAAATAAAAGGTAGCTCTTTTTATGCATTCTCTTAAACGACTCCCGGACATTCAGTAGCATATAAAAATCTCCTGACCTTTATTTCGTCTATAAAAAATCTATAATCTGATCGTCCATAAAGACTCCCTTCAGCTCGTCTATAAACACTGCCTTCAGCTCGTCTACAAAGACAGGCTGCTTTCGTCTCGTCTGCATCAGCTCGTCTATAAACACTTCCTGCTTCATCTCGTCTATAAAGACTCCCTGCTTCAGCTCGTCTATAAAGACTCCCTGCTTCAGCTCGTCTATAAAGACTCCCTGCTTCAGTTCGTCTACAAGACTTCAGACTTCCTGACCTTCAGATAGACTCGCTGACCTTCAGATAGACTCGCTGACCTTCAGATAGGCTCGCTGACCTCAGTCGACTATAAAGACTCCCTGACCTTCAGCTCGTCTATAAAGACTTGATTGTCTATAAAGAATCAATGTAAGTCAGGGAGTCTCTATAGACGAGCTGGGGTAGAGGGAGTATTTACAGGCGAGCTGAAAGTCAGAGAGTCTTTACAGGCTAGCTTAAGGTCAGGGAGTCTTTTTAGATGAGCTGAAAGGAGTTTTTATAGCGGAGTTGATGCTCATTCTTTATAGACAAGCTGAAGTTCAGGGAGTCGTTATAGGCGAGCTTAAGGTCAGGAAGTCTTTATAGACGAACTTAAGGTCAGGGAGTCTGTACAGGCGAGCTGAAGGTCGGGGAGTCTTTATGGACGAGCTGAGGGACAGATAGTCTTTACAGGCTAGCTGAAGGCCCTTATAGATAGGCTGATGGCCTGGGTGTCTTTGTAGGTGACTAGATCCTCAGGGAGTGTTTATAGGCAAGCTGAAGGTCAGGGAGGTTTATAGACGAGCTGGAGGTCAGGGAATCTTTATAGGCAAGCTGGAGGCCAAGGATGTGTTTACAGATGAGCTGAAATTCAGGGAGTCTTTACAGGAGAGCTGAAGGTCAGAGACGAGCTGAAGCAGGATGTCTTTATAAACAAGCTAAACTTACTAAAGGAATTCTTTATAGACGAGCTAAAGGGAGTTTTTATAGAAGATCTGAAGGAAGGGAGTCTTTTTAGATCAGGTGAAGGAAGTCTCAACTAGAGCTGAGTGGTGACGGGTGTCAAGATTAGTTCAAATCCGATTAAGTTATAGTTCTCTCATTTGATTCACAAATTATTTTAATGGATTATAATACGAGTACTCGGGCCAGTTCCTTTTTTATTTCTACCATTATTTCTTATTATTAATAATAAATTATTGTGTTTATATTTCTGTTATTTATACACTCTAAATTTTTTTCCAAAATTTACAGTGATAATCATTGCGATTTTTTGTTGATTTTTTAAGAGGTGTGTAATAATCGTGTAATTTGAAGAAAAATAAAAAATAAGGGTGGGTTTAAGCATAAAATAGCGCAAAAATTGCAATTAAGTTAAAATGTGCGTAAAAGTAAACACAAAGTGTAGTAATTTCTCACTTTTACAACAAAAAAAGTTTGAAATTCAACAAAAAGAACAACAAAGAGAAAAAATCACGTGATGACGTTCAGTTGTTTGTGGTTCTTTGCATTGCGTAGACGGCATTCTATTTGTGAAATATTTTACTTTGTTAAATAAAATAAATAACAAAAATTTATGTTTGCAATATATGTAAGAAAGTGCTTGAAAATATTGATGGATATAATTGCATTTGTGTAAAAAACAAAAGAACAATGTATTTCAGTGTTTGATCCCAAAATGCAATAGAGAATACCAAAATCACAATTCTTATAAATCTCATTTTAAACGTGTTCATAAAATTGAAAAGAAGATTAAAAGTATGAAATTAGAAGGGAGATATCCTTGTTTAGTTAGTACATGTAAATATGTTGGTTCCAATTGCAAGTTTATATGCTTACACGCTTTAAAACATTTGTCACACCGTAAAAAGATAAATTGTTCCCTGTGTCTATGTCTACATTTCGATCACATTTCTTTAGAAAGCACGCGTTTGTTGACCAAAAAGAAAACAACACAGCAAAGAAGCAGACAGACTCGTCACAATCGTATGATGACGATGAGACATGTCTTTTCATGTCGAGAACAGTGGACACTATCCAAAACGTTGAAGTAAATACGAAAACTACAGACATTGCAGAAAATGTAGAACAAAATACTGTAACGAATGAAGAAGATGTTGGCGGTATTGTAAAAGCTATATATGACTATTTTCATGAGAAAAACACAATGCTTTTTTAAAAATATAAGGTAATATGCATGGAAAATTATTATATATGTAAACTATAACATGTAACATTAAAAAAAATGTAAAGACCTTCCTTTATGCATTTGTAAACTATAACATGTAACTAAAGACCTTCCTTTTATTTTATTCGTTTTAGTTCGGCACCACAATAGATGAGGTTAAGAGGGAAAATGTAACTACCACTCCATGGGCTTCCATAATTTGTAAGTCTCTACTATAAATGTGTAAAAGACAGTGAAAATATTTAATATTAGCAATTACAGATACATCTCCTGCGGAGGAAGATAGTAGCGGAGAATCTATTGCATACATTTGGTTAGAAGGGGAAATGACAAGCATAGAACCAAACTGTGACATAATTACTATAATCTTGCAGATACTGTTTTATTATATATTAAATATCCAAAAGATATCTCCCAAATATGCGAATTTTTCATGCGACATCTTTTTAAATTTTATCCTTTGCAAGTTAGAGGCAAAAAGAAGAATATAAATAATATGAAACGTATAATAACGCTGATAAAAAAACTTGATGAAATGAATTAACTTAATATTCTAATTAATTTTATTCTTATAATACTAATATTTTTTCTAATTACTAAACTAATAATTATTTTTTTCCTCTTGGATTCACATTCGCAATGAAATATGTTAATTTTTTATAAAAATAAAATACTTTTCGCTCTCCTTCGAACAAAAAAGCATTTTCATTGGATAAACTAATAAATTACGCACAAATTTGTTTAATTTCTATTGCATTTACAAGCAAAAGTGTGTAAAATCACAACGGATTGTTGTTTAGAATCGCAACTCAAATGTGTTCAATATTAAGCACATTCTGACTAAAAACCTTACAACAACAAATACGTTGAAAATTACGCACATTTGTGCGGCATCCCGTTGCCTATCATTATCATTGCGATTTTCAACAAAAATAATTTAGAGTGTATGCTTTGTATTTATTATTTTTATATTATAAATTTAATTTTATATTATATATTTAATTGAATAATTTTATCTTAAATAAGCATCGCATTCTTCGAAAAAACCTCCTTTTCTCCTGTGCTAACCACAATTCCAGAAAAAATACAAACGCACTGACAATCCAACCAATCGCCACTAGCATCCAAATCCAAAAGAGATCAGTAACTGTTAAAAATGTCACTTCCACGCTGGGATTTATATTTTTCAACGAAATTTTCTTTAACTTTAGTAAATCTGTAAATACACTGCGCAACCATGCCTCGGGCAAACCATAAGCATGGACTAAATGAATTAAATAATTCAATGGTTCCATGAGCGGAGAATTGAATTGTAACTTAAAGCCCCACAGTGTCACGTGCAATATAAACAAATCGCGCGGTGTGTGAAATAGTTTAAATGAAAAATAATTTTGTATCTGCGTGTATATATACCATGGTGCAGTTCGAACCAAATAACAATAGGATGTATTGAAATCACGTCGGACTTTCAAAAAGTGTGTGATATTTGTGGAAACCGTGTTAATTTTCACTTCAGGCAAAAGTAATTTTAATCTTGGTACATCGTCAATATCAATGAGTAGTTTTATATCAGATCGTCTCAAATCATCGAATGTTTGAATCTGAGAATGATATGGTGGTGTGGTATAGAGACTATTCATTCGGGCCGAAAATTGTGTACACGCATTCAAGCCGATAAAACCAATCAGAATATAAACAACTTTGTGGCTTAGTAATTTGGACGAACGCATTTGAAAGGAGTAGCCCAGAATACCGGGAAATACTTTTGGATTTAATGCTAAATTCAAATATTGCCAAACTCCATCCAGATAATAATCCAAAATACAATAGACCAGGGATATTAGAAAATAACACGATAACATAAAACCAAAGAAATAGAAATCCAATAGAATTCCAAATATTTCACGTAAAGTATACGGATTGGAAAGTGGTACCATTATCATAATTTGATCAATTTCATAGACATCAGACATATTAAGCCAACTATTTTTATAATAACCATCCAAAGACATGGCTATATCTACAAGATTGTCATCAACCATATCACTGATTACGCCATAGTGAGAAATATTGTTATCCTGATTTTCGAGAGGTTGATACATTTTCAAGTTGGCATTGAAGTACTCGGCAAATAGTATTACCATCCTGGCCACCAAACCATTTATCTTGATTTTTTGATTTTCATCTTTATATATAATAGAACGTGATGCTACTAAATCCACAAAGGTAGTCAGGGTGGTATTTTGTAAATTCTTCCAATGTTGCGGATAGTATATGGTATTGTTTCCAAATAAATTGTAACTTTTCCAATGGTATTTCGGATAAGGTTTCATGGAATAATATTGGTCCTTTGATTCAATAAAATGTAGTATGACATTTGTCATTTTAAATTTGTGGCATTGTTGCAGTACTAGCTCTTGGAAATTGTCCATATCCATGACATTTTCCACTAGCCACAGTGTTCGAACTTGACGCATATAATTTAATGTTTGAGCAGTGGCTTCTATAATTCCCATATCCATTGTCTGGGATATCATAATGACAGCTAAAATATTTGAATTTCCCACTTCTTGTTTGTAATTTAATATTAAATTTTTGGTTAGTATGATTTTTGGTAAAGGAATTTGATAGAGTAGTTTAAGGCCTGCAGCTTCCATGTGGTTATGGCGAATTATTAGTAAGCCTTCATAGGGTTTCTCATGCCAAATGTTTCTTAGTAATATTCCATATTCATCACCAGCATTAGATGGGAATGGGCTGGTCCAACTCGTGGTGCTCTTCACCGCGATTAATAAAAGTAAAAGTATTTCCTTGAAGAGCTTCATTGCAACTACTGAGTGAATGCAATTGTGGTGTTATGGTTGAGACCCTTAAGAAATTGGGCTTTATTTATTTTCTAAACAATTGCTCTAGTACAAACATATAAATAAGTAAATAAAGAAGAAATTTAATTTATTTAATTGGGGCATGTATTTTTTCTATGTGAATGAAGTTGCAGTGGATTACGAGTAAACATAGCGGAGGTGAAAAGTTAAGTATTTAAAGAAGGAATGAAGTTGGGAGCCTCAAGTTGAAACTTAGAGTCTTGGTTTGAAGCGGGCAGTATTTGCAAACATGCTATAGAAGGGAATCTTTGTTGAAAGGGTCTTTATACACGAGCTGAGGGGCAGGTAGTCTTTATAGGCGATCCGAAGGTCAGGAAGTCGTTATAGATGAGCTGATGGACAGGGAATCTTTACAGGCGAACTGAATGTCAGAAAGTCTTCGTAAACGAGCTGAGGGACAGGGAGTCTTTATAAACGAGCCGAGATACAGGGAATCTTTACAGGCGAGTTGAATGTCAGGGAGTCTTTATAGACGAACAGGGAGTCTTTATAGATGAGCTGATGGACAGAAAGTCTTTAGAGGCGAGCTGAATTCCAGGGGGTCTTTATAACGAGCTAAATGTCAGGGAGTTTCTATAGACTAAAGCTAAAGCTCAGGGAGTCATTCCAGATGAGCTTATGATCAGGGAGTCTTTATAGGCGAGCTGAAGGTCATGGGATTTTTATAAACGAGCTGATGTTCGGGAGTATTTTTAGGCGAGCTGATTGTCAAGGAGTATACAGGCAAGCTGAAAATCGGGGAGTCTTTATAGGCGAGCGAAAGGTCAGGGAGTGTTATAGACGAGCTGAGGTCAAGAAGTTTTCGTAGATGGGTTGAAGACAGGGAGACGAGCTGAAGGGAGTCTTTATTGACGAGCTGAAGAGAGTCTTCATAGACGAGCTGAAGGGAGTGTTTATGTACGAGCGAAAGGTCCGGTGGTTTTTGTAGACGAGCTGAACGGAGTCTTTATAGGAGAGTTGAAGTATGAAGTTTTTATAGACGAGGTAAATCGGGAGTCTTTATAGACGAACTAAAGCAAGGAGTCTTTATAGACGAGCGGAAGCAGAGAGTTTTACATACGAGTTGAAGCAGGATTCTTTAGAGACGAGCTGAATAAAGGACTTTTTATAGGAGAGCTGAATCAAGGAGTCTTTATAAAAGAGCTGAAGCCGGAGTATTGATAGACGAGCAGGAGCAAGGAGTCTTTATAGACGAGCTGAAGCAGGGAGTCTTTATAGACCAGCTGAAATAGGTGAATGGATTCTTTCTAGCGAACTGAAGGTAGGTTTCAAAGAGAAGCTGAACGGAGTTTTTATAGGAGAGCTAAATGAATGGAGTCTTTGTAGATCAGCTGAAGGAAGTCTTTCTAGTTGAGCTGAGTGGTGACGAGTGTCAAGATTATTTCAAATCGGATTAAGCAATTGTTCTTTCATTTGATTCACAAATAATTTTAATGGATATCAATACGAAAACTTATAAATTACATTTGGGCCATTTAGTTTTTAATTTCTTCTATTAGTTTTTCTATGTGACTTATATTAATAATAAACTATTGTATTTATATTTTTTATTTATACCCTTTGTATTTATAAAACAAATATTTAATTGAATAATTTTATCTTAAATAAGCAGCGCACTCTTCGAAAAATCATCCCTTTCTTCCGTGTTAACCACAATTCCAGAAAAAATACAATTGTACTGCCGGACAAACCGATCACCAATAGCATCCAAATCCAAAAGAGATCACCAACAGTTAAAAATGTCCTCTCCACGCTGGGATTTAAATTTTTCAAAGAATTTTTTAACTTTAGTAAATCTGTAAATACACTGCGCAACCATGCCTCGGGAGTCATTCCAGATGAGCTTATGGTCAGGGAGTCTTTACAGGCGAGCTGAAGGTCATGGGATTTTTATAAACGAGCTGATGTTCGGGAGTATTTTTAGGCGAGCTGATTGTGAAGGAGTATACAGGCAAGCTGAAAATCGGGGAGTCTTTATAGGCGAGCGAAAGGTCAGGGAGTGTTATAGACGAGCTGAGGTCAAGAAGTTTTCGTAGATGGGTTGAAGACAGGGAGACGAGCTGAAGGGAGTCTTTATTGACGAGCTGAAGAGAGTCTTCATAGACGAGCTGAAGGGAGTGTTTATGTACGAGGGAAAGGTCCGGTGGTTTTTGTAGACGAGCTGAACGGAGTCTTTATAGGAGAGTTGAAGTATGAAGTTTTTATAGACGAGGTGAATCGGGAGTCTTTATAGACGAACTAAAGCAAGGAGTCTTTATAGACGAGCGGAAGCAGAGAGTTTTACGTACGAGTTGAAGCAGGATTCTTTAGAGACGAGCTGAATAAAGGACTTTTTATAGGAGAGCTGAATCAAGGAGTCTTTATAAAAGAGCTGAAGCAGGAGCAAGGAGTCTTTATAGACGAGCTGAAGCAGGGAGTCTTTATAGACCAGCTGAAATAGGTGAATGGATTCTTTCTAGCGAACTTAAGGTAGGTTTCAAAGAGAAGCTGAACGGAGTTTTTATAGGAGAGCTAAAGGAATGGAGTCTTTGTAGATCAGCTGAAGGAAGTCTTTCTAGTTGAGCTGAGTGGTGACGAGTGTCAAGATTATTTCAAATCGGATTAAGCAATTGTTCTTTCATTTGATTCACAAATAATTTTAATGGATATCAATACGAAAACTTATAAATTACACTTGGGCCATTTCGTTTTTAATTTCTTCTATTAGTTTTTCTATGTGACTGATATTAATAATAAACTATTGTATTTATATTTTTTATTTATACCCTTTGTATTTATAAAACAAATATTTAATTGAATAATTTTATCTTAAATAAGCAGCGCACTCTTCGAAAAATCATCCCTTTCTTCCGTGTTAACCACAATTCCAGAAAAAATACAATTGTACTGCCGGACAAACCGATCACCAATAGCATCCAAATCCAAAAGAGATCACCAACAGTTAAAAATGTCCTCTCCACGCTGGGATTTAAATTTTTCAAAGAATTTTTTTTTAACTTTAGTAAATCTGTAAATACTCTGCGCAACCATGCCTCGGGCAAACCATAAGCATGAACTAAATGAACTTAAAGCCCCATAGTGTCATGTGGAATAAGAACAAATCGCGCGGTGTGTGAAATAGTTTGTAAGAGAAGTAATTTTGTACCTGCGTGTATATATACCAGGGTGCAGTTCGAACCAAATAACAGTAGGAAGTATTAAAATGCCGGCGGACTTTCAAAAAATGTGTGGTATTTGTGAGAACGGAGGTGATGTTCTTTTCGGGAAGAACTAATTTTAACCTTTGTGCGTCGCCAATAGCAATGAGTAGTTTTAAAGGGGATCGTCTGAGGTCATCGAATGTCTGAATTTGAGGATGATATGGTGGTGTGGTATAGAGACTATTCATCCGTGCCGAAAATTGTGTACTCGCAATTAAGCCCATAAAACCAATCTGAATATAAAGAACTCTGTGGCTTAGTAATTTTGGTGAACGCATTTGAAAGGAGTAGCCCAGAATTCCGGGAAATATTTTAGTATTTAATGCTAAATTCAAATATTGCCAAACGCCATCCAGATAATAATCCAAAATACAATGGACCAGCGATATTAGAAAATAACACGATGACACATAACCAAATAGAATGCCAAATATTTCACGTAATGAATACGGGTTGGAGAGTGGTACCATTATCATCACTTGATCAATTTCATAGACATCAGACATGTTTAGGCCACGATTTTGATAATAATTATCCAAAGTCATAGATACATCTAAGAGATTCGCATCAACCTTATCGTTGATTACGTCAAAGTGAGGAACGTAATCCAGATTTTCCAGCGACAGATACATTTGTAGTGTGGCATTAAAATACTCGGCAAATAGTAAAATCATCCTGGCCACCAGACCATTTATCTTGATGTTTTTCTTTTCATCTTGATATATAAGAGAACGCGTTGCTACTAAATCCACAAAGGTAGTCAGGGTGGTATTTTGTAAATTCTTCCAATGATAACTGGGATAGGGTTTAAGAAAATAATATTCATCTTTCAATTCAATAAAATGTAGTATGACATTTGTCATTTTATATTTTCGACACTGTTGCAGTTCCAATTCCCGGAAATTGTCCATCTCAATAACATTTTCCACTAGCCACAGTATTCGAACTTGACGCATATAATTTAATGTTTGAGCAGTGGCTTCCATAATTTCCATATCCATTGTTTGGGATATCATAATGACAATTAAGATGTTTGAATTTCCAATTTCCGTTTTGTAATTTAAAATTAAATCCTTGGTTAGTATGATTTTGGGTAAAGGAATTTGATAGAGTATTTTAAGGTCCGCAGCTTCCATGTGGTTATGTTGAATTATTAGTAAGTCTTCATAGGGTCTCTCTTGCCAAATGTCTCTTAGTAATATTCCATATTCATCACCAGCATTAGATGGGAATGGGCTGGTCCAATTCGTGGTACCTTTTACCGCGATTAATAATATTAGAAGTATTTCCTTGAAGAGCTTCATTGCTACTACCATTCATTGCTACTTGTGGTGTTATGATTGAAACCCTTAAGAAATTTATTTATATTTCTATGCAATTACTTTACTACAAACATACACATAAGTAAATAAACAAGAAATTTATTTACTTATATTAGTACAGATGACGAGTAAAAACAGAAGACCATCTGTAGTAGGATTCAAAGACAAGCTAAAATAGTAATAATTTTACAGAGAGAATTTATGGACGAGATCAGGCGGGAATTTTTTAGACGATTTATAAACGATGGGTTGAAGGTCAGGGTGTCTTTATAGACAAGCTGATGATTAGGGAATCTTTATAGACGAGCTGGTGATCAATAAGGCTATATGAACGAGCTGAAGGTTAGAGAGTCTTTATAGTCCAGCTCCACAACTAGGAAACGGGAGCGAGAATTTAAAGTCAATCTGAATGGAGTCTCTATAGACGAGCTGTAACGCCCCAAAATCGTGGACACTCATTTTTGGCTACAAAATTTTACGTTCATATAAATTAATTTTAAATCAAAGGATCAAAAAACTCCTTGTGGTCCTACAAGAAACTTATCTTTTGTTACAGATTTGAGCGTCAACGATATACACTATTACTGCGATGAAAATTTAATAAGTGTGCTTCGTGTTTAGAGGCAGTCACCAGCAGGTATAAAAATAGATACTTTGATGATAATCGTTGAATAAGGAGCCCTTGGCAGGATGTAGTTTACTGTCTTGTCGATTGGAGTTGCGGAACGAGCCTTCGACTATAAGCTGTTGAAGAGTCGAGAGAGGTTGAAAGACGAGACCATTCCATTTCATTCCATTCCAGACCATTCATCGGGCTGCTGCTGTGTGAGCTATCCACCGAATCTTACTCCAACCTACTTACAATAAACGTCGATTCAGTAGCTATAATAGAAGAACCTCTGCCAACAGTCCTAGATTTTATTTGATATTCAGACGCCGCTCATAATCATCGCATCCTCTCGTGACCAAACTCCATTTAACCACAAATATCAAAAACTCGTCTCGTAGTCTATCCGTCCTCAGATCCACATTCACATATGTGTAGTGTCTTATCGTTTATTAATAGAAAATAATTTTTCTCTCTCCCTCTATCTCTTTATAACCCTACATCGAAAATAAATTCTTGTGACCATGGCACCACTGAACCTATCATAGCTTCAAAGTCCTAAACTCGTCATCACAGAGCTAAAGGGAGTTTTAGTAGATGAGCAGAATGGAGTCTTCACAGACGAGCTGAAGGTAGTATTCATAGACGAACTGAAGCAGGGAGTTTTTATAGACATCCTGAAAGGAGTCTTTAAAGACGAGCTGAAGGGAGACTTTACAGATGAGCTGAAGGGAGACTTTACAGACAAGTTGAAGGCAGTCTTCATAGAAAGGGAGTCTTTAAAGCAGGGATCTTTGTGGACTAGCATACGATTAGATATTCTTTGGAGACGACCTAACTTTCAGGGAGCTAGAGGGAGTCTTTATAAACGAGCTGAAGGTAGTCTATAAACGACCTGAATGTTGTCATGACAGACGATATGAAATTGGCAATCTTTATAGACTAACAGGTGGTAAGAATTCTTTATAGACGACCTTACTTCAAGGGTGCTGAAGGCAGTCTTTATAGACGAGTTGAAGGGAGTATTTTTAGATGAGCTGAAGGGACTTTTTGTAGAGTAGATTAAGGGAGTCATTATAGAGGAGTTCATGGGAGTCTTTATAGACGAACTGAAGGTCAAGCAGTCATTATTGAGGAGGGAGTCGATATTGGCGAGCTTTTAGTCAGGGAGTGTTCATGGACGAGCTGATGCCCAGGGAGTCTTTGTAAATGAGCGGAAGGTTAGGGAGTCTTCATAGAGGAGCTGATGCCCAGGAAGTCTTTATAGACAAGGGTGCATTCAGACAACGAATCGGAACGATTTATTCGGCGGCGGCGGCGCGTCTTCTATTTAAGCAGCTAAATTACAACATATGAACACGTTTTTTTACTAGGATAACAATTTTTATTTTATGATATCGAAAAAATAGTAAAAACTAGTATATTCTTGCAGTACAGGAAAATGGTATCGAAATCCCAAAGCTAAAAATCGGTTACTTCAAATAAAATTAAATTTGCGCACTGTTCTGAAAAGCTGTCGCCGGCGATTTTTGGCCGGTTTTAGCCGACAAAATCGGCGGCGGCCCGTTCCCTTATAAAATGAGCGGCAGTCAGCTCGCTTCCGACTCTGGATGGTTTAGACACGAGCTGAAGCTGACGGTTCCTTATTGACAAACTGAAAGTCAATAGTATTTATAGACGAACTTAAAATCAGGTAGTCTTTATATCGTATCTGAATGTAAAGAAGTCGTTATAGATGATCTAAAGGAGTAAGGGTAAGGGAGTCTTTATAGACAAGCCGATGGACAGGCTGAAGGACAGGGAGTCCTTATAGACGAGCTGATCGTCAGATAGTGTTTATATATGAAATGAACTTCAGGAAGTAGAAAAGATGCCGGTCAGTTTTTATAAGCTATTTGGATGTCAATGAGCTTCTATGGAACGAGCTGTTCGCAGGGAATCTTTAGGGACAAGCTAAGGTAGTGATTTTTTTTATAGACGAGCTGTAGCAGATGAGCAGAATTACGTTGCTTATAGACGGCTCGGAATGTAGGAAGTTTTTAAAGATGGATTGATGGTAGGGGAGTACTTATAGACTAGTTGAAAGAGGCAGGCTCCAGGGCCTCTTTATTGACGATTTATACTCGAACCGAAAGTCAGCCTTATTAGAAGAATAAAAGGAAGAAGTCGCAGACGGTGAAGCTAGTCGGAAGCAGTGATAATTAAATATACCGGAAATAGAGCATTTGGTTTTCCCATTTAAAAAATGCAATGCGTATACGTTATTAAAACCATCGGTCTTCATCTCCTGGTTTCGTTAATCTAAAATTGAATTGAAATTGTTACTGCTGGTCACACACTTTTGCCGAGTTCGTTGTCGCCATTTTATACGTATTAAATAAGCCCTTTGTTTGTATGCCTTAAAATTAAATGCGAGTTGACAAGTTCTGTTGTCGTATAGGATTATTTAAGAACCTACTCTAGATACTTTTCGGCAGGAATATGTATTAAAATTGATTCGGATGTCCTATATATAATATTAATACTTAAAGGAGGATGAGTCTAAGTATTAGGTTTGTTACCTCGCCTGAAACTCGTTGAAAAAATACGAAAATGGTTCGCATTGACTTAACACCCATGGCATGTCGTACGATGTTATATGATAAATAATAATACCATTCAACTTGTAGGGTACAATAATTTCGCACTTCTATGTAAATGCTATTCATTGTGCGACCTTTATAAACTCGGAGTTTAGTAGCCGCCATGGATAAGTTTAAATCAGTACTTCTAATTTTTTAGCTGTGCAAAACTACGCAGCTATCAGCAATAGGACAAATATCGATTTTCCCCTCATTAAGGACAATGATGTGATGATTTATGAAAACCTTTTGTGGAATATTTGGAATGGTTTGGTTGCCCGTATGGTGTTACTTTTTGCCGAACATTTTAACATTTGAACATTTGAAAATGTATCATCCACTGGAGGTGGGGAAAAAATTCAGTTTCATTCTTGAAATAGTTGATGCTAGCCTCATCGATATACCCATGGACATGGATAGTTCGTAAAATGATCAATGGTTCAATATGACCTATCCATATGAAATCGATCAGTCATGATAATGGTGCCACTCTCACCCCAATATACATTGAATGATATATTCGGTCTGCTAATGGAACCATATTTACTTGCCTGCCTCATGACATTCTCTTTGTATATGATCTTTATTGGGTATGGGTAATGATTGCGGTTGGTTGTGGGGGAGGTATAATTGTATTTATTCTTGAGTTATGTATTGCAAGGATAGGGAAGCGACTGGTGGCATGTTTTGGAAAGAAATATCATATTTAAATAAATTGTAACTGTGACTTTTTGTTATTCAAATAAATGTTCTTAAAAATTTTGTTTTTATATCATTTAAATACAGTTTAAAAAACTTGATTGTGTCAGTTCGTCTATAATGACTATCCGAAAATCAGCATGTCTATAAAAATAAAGTTCAGTTCATCCAAAAAAAAAAATCACTTCAAGGACTGCCTACACTGCACAACCTCTACAATTACTCTTCGACGTTTAACTGATTAGAGCTTCATCTATAAAGACTTATTGTCCTTCAGTTCCTCTATTAATACCCCTTACCCCTCTGTTCATACATAAATACCTCTTATTTTCCAAGTCAGGGGTCTTGACTTTCTGACTTTCACTTCGATTATATGAACTCATTGACTTATAGCTCGCCTATAAATACCTCCATAAATATTGGCTTATTATCAATTCATATATAAAGACCACTTGATCTATTAAGATTTCTGGACATACATGTCGTCTATAACGAACATTTGATCTTCAGCACTTCTTTAAAGACTCCCTAGACATTCTTTAAAACTGAATCTTCAGCTCATATAGCTGGACATCCCGACCTATAACATTGCTAGCCATGCTGCATGGCTGCAATTCTTTTCAAATTTCGGATTGTGGATTTCCAAAACTACAAGAATTAAATTTATATGAAAATCTATCCACGCCTTGGATGGATGGTCTTGGGGAAAAAAATATTCTTTAAAAAATCCACGCCATGTATGGATGGTCTTGGGGAAAAAAATATTCTTTAAAAAATCCACGCCATGTATGGATGGTCTTGGGGAAAAAAATATTCTTTAAAAAATCCACGCCTTGGATGGATGGTCTTGGGGAAAAAATATTCTTTAAAAAATCCACGCCTTGGATGGATGGACTTGGGGAAAAAATATTCTTTAAAAAATCCACGCCTTGTATGGATGGTCTTGGGAAAAATATTCTTTAAAAATTCCACGCCTTGGATGAATGATCTTGGGAAAAAAATATTCTTTAAAAAATCCACGCCTTGTATGTTTGGTCTTGGGAAAAAATATTCTTTAAAAAATCCACGCCTTGTATGAATGATTTTGGGAAAAAATATTCTTTAAAAAATCCACGCCTTGTATGGATGATCTTGGGAAAAAATATTCTTTAAAAAATCCACGCCTTGTATGGATGATCTTGGGAAATTCCTTAAAAATCCGCGCCTTGGTTGGTATGCCTTTGAAAAAATATTCTTTAACAAAATCCACGCCATGTATGGATGGTCTTGGAAAAAAATATTCTTGAAAAAATCCACCCATTTTTTAATTATTCAAATAAAACACATATTATTTTTTAATTTTTTAAAATAAAATATTGTTTTTATTACATATAAAAATATCATACATATGATAAGTGAACACAAAATTATTAAAAAAGGACAAAAAATCTCAAAGCAACAAATTACAGGGCATTGGAAATATTCGCACAAAATTTGTAAAAAAAAACAGTGATAATATTTAAATACAATATTTTTTATAAATGGATAGAAAAAAATATGGTTTTGAAAAAATTTGTAAATGTGTAAAAACTGCAGTGTGAATGACAACAAACATTTGATACAAATATTCGATTAATAATACATTTCGTAATAAATTGATTTTTAGGAAAATATAGTGGTTTGGGGCAGTTTTTGAGGAACATAATTTAAAAAATAATATTTAAAATGGACGAAGTTTAAGGTAACATAATATGGGCCTAGGCAAGCTTCTGGTACCATGGCTATTCTGAATATGGGAAAATTTCGAAAAGGTTTGTCTGATGTGACATGATTTGTGCCAATATTTTGTAGAATACAATTTTGTTTTTTTGTGATATTTTTGAATAATAGTATTTAATTATTTTTTACAGTTTGTCAAGAAAATATTTTCACAAAAAGTTTTTTGTTAAGATTTATTAATAATACAAGAAAATCTATGCAAAACAAAAAAAATTTAAAAATTTTTCCAAAAAAAAAAAATTTGTTTTCGTGAAAACACCTTTTTGACAAACTGTAGTTGATAAATTTGTTTTTAAGAATATATATAAGGAAAACATAATGAGGCCTACTTAAAACTAATTTAATTTTGAAAATATTTTTTTTAATAAAAAAACATAATTTTTTTCATGGATTATTTATAGATGATATAGAGTTGGGGGGGAGGGAGGTATATCTTCCGACCACCAACAACTCTGTGGTCTTAATTCTAGGCAATGATTTTTGTCATTGTTATGGCATAATTTTGCAGTGATTATTTTCTTCATCTTCGTTGCGACGGAGTATTTGGGGTGGGAAATGATAAATTCTTTTAAATGAACGAATGAAATGGAAAAGAAATGCGCAGACAGGTTTCACGGGATCTCCTTGGAGCACAACATTGGAAACCTGGTCCATACTACACAGTAGTAAATAATTATAATGGCTTAATGGGTGGTTGGAAACAGCACACACACACCCGGAGTGGGTCTATGCGGTAAATTGAGTATTCTCTCTCTAACCACGCCATGTCAATAGACTCCAACCATGTTTATTGGTGGCTTGGGCCTGTTGGTGCTGTTGTTGCTGCTGTTGGGCCGACTGTGTTTGGGGCTGCTGCTCACCTACAGAAGTACGTAATACGGTGTGTTTAAATACGGATTTCTTAAATTCCTCCGCTGTTGGTTTATATGATTCCAATTTGTTCTTGTATTGATGCGGTTGTTGTTGTTGTTGCTGTGAACTCTCCGTGGTGTATGACTGCGACCCACCGAAGTTCTTGGTACCGAATGAGCTCCCACTTTTTTGCGATAATGTTGACGTGGTTTGCGATGATGTCGCCTGTTGATGTTTGAAGCTATTAGTATAGGTTGTGATTTTCTTGTGGTGGTTGTTGCTGGGGTTATTTTGGAATTTAGTAGTGGTGGTATATTGCGTTTGTGTTTGTTTGGTATTATAAGCACTGAATGAATTATAATTGTTGTTGTTGTTGCTGTTAGTGTTTTTATATTCATACGTTTCAATAGCGTTGTCGTTGACGGTACTGGGATCGGGTGCTGCGCAAAGGCCATTGTAACGCTTGGAGGGTTTCATGCCATAAGCACTGCATGATGGCTTGCCAACTTCATAGGGATTGTAGCCGACAACGTTGCCACTAAAAAGAAAAGAGGAAAAGAAAATTAGTTTTATGTCATAAATTTTAAAATTAGAGAAAGTTCTACATCTAGGTTATGACTCAAAAAATATTCCACTTGGATGGTTGGTCTTGGAAAAAATATTCTTAAAAAAACCCACACCTTGGAAAAAATATTCTTAAAAATATCCACGCCTTGGAAAAATATTCTTAAAAAAAATCCACACCTTGGAAAAAATATTCTTAAAAAAATCCACACCTTGACAAAAATATTCTTAAAAAAATCCAAGCTTTGGAAAAAATATTCTTAAAAAATCCATGCCTTGGAAAAAATATTCTTAAAACAATCCACGCCTTGGAAAAAATATTCTTAAAAAAATCCACACCTTGGAAAAAATATTCTTAAAAAAATCCACACATATTCTTTAAAAAATCCAGGCCTTGAATGGTCTTGGAAAAATATTCTTTAAAAAATCCAGGCCTTGAATGGTCTTGGAAAAATATTCTTTAAAAATACAGGCCTTGGATGGCCTCGGAAAAATATTCTTTAAATAATCCACGCCTTGGATGGCCTCGGAAAAAATATTCTTTAAAAACCTAGGCCTTCGATAGGACTCGAAAAACTATTTTTAAAAAATCCACGTTGGATAGGACTCGAAAAATAATTTTTAAAAAATCCACCCCTTGGATGGTCTTGGAAAAATATTCTTTAAAAAATCCAACCCTTGGATGGTCTTGGAAAAATATTCTTTAAAAAATCCACGTTTTGGATGGTCTTGAAAAAAATATTCTTTAAATAATCCACGCCTTGGATGGCCTCGGAAAAAATATTCTTTAAAAACCCAGGCCTTCGATAGGACTCGAAAAAGTATTGGATGGCCTCGGAAAAAATATTCTTTAAAAACCCAGGCCTTCGATAGGACTCGAAAAAGTATTTTTAAAAAATCCACGCCTTGGATAGGACTAGAAAAACTATTTTTAAAAAATCCACGCCTTGGATAGGACTTGAAAAACTTATTTAAAAAAAAATCTGCCAATATGTCTCTGTTTTTTGTGCTTTTATTAAATATGTCTTTTTTTACTTACCCAGGTCCATAATTGCAAACATATAATTTATTGTATTTCGATTTGTCTTTGTATTCAGCAAAACCGCAACCAACCAGACTGGTTTCGCCCCAAACCAACTGTAAAATTGAAAAAATAAATTCATTAGCACTCAAAATTTGTTATTTAAAATTTTTCAAAAAAATCTTACCTGAGAATAATGACCTGTTTTGGGTGACCAGGCATCGCCAAAGGAATATTTTTGTACTTCATTGAACCAACTTTGGATGCGGGATGGAAAATCACCATCATCTGGATCCAAGGGGGCTGTACTCCAAATAATGGCCAAATTTTGGCCCATTGTAAAGCGATCTAAAAATAAAGAAATTATAAATAAAAAATCTCATTTTTAATTTTATTATTTTTTAACTCACTTATTGTCCTATGGGGATCGTGACGAAATTGACAATTCTCGGCCCATTTTTGGGCACGTTCGGCCAGCTCATCATCCCAGACAATTTCACGCATGTTCTCTGCTGCCGGCTGGCCGGGATAGCGGCCGGTGGCAACAGTTTGCCTTAATCTATTGTGTTCTCTTAAAATGATTTCTTTCTCTTCTTCGGTAATGCCCGCAACTGTAAAAAAGAGAAATACAGAAAAATGTTAAAACGGGTTAATTTAATTTCAAATTCAAAAAAAAAAAAAAAATACTGGCAATAAAACAAAACTAGGCTAAGGGTTGTCCGACCGACTAAAGGAGATAACAAAAAATATATGATTGTGGTTTTTATTCAATATTATTCGAAAAAATGGTGTTATCTTTAAATTTGTATTGAGTCATTTCTATTTCTGGTGACTTGTTGCCAAAGTCCGGACCAGTTTTCTTCCTAATGTTAGATGGTGAACTCGAAATAAAAATCTCAAAATTAATTTGAATATAATCATTAGGTTTGAATAAAGAAAAAAATAACACACACACCTTCCTCGAATAACGTTTCAAAAACCAAAAAAAAAAATATATATCGAATATTTTAAAACTTGCGATTTGAAGACAAAGTTTTGTATTTGTTTTTTTTTTTATAAAATTTCATTTAGGCCTTTATTAGCATTTCTTTGAAATTAGTTTGATTTAATTCAAATTTATTCAAGAAAGCATTTCAAAACCCCCCTAAAAAATGTGAAAATAAAATGTGTTTTTTTAGGTTTATTTATAATTATGACAGCTATAGTAGGAAAGCCAGGGCTGACGACAATCTGTATTCAGATTTTGAGAAAAATAACGTTGTTTGTTCGATATATTCAGAGGCTGACTAATACCAGGTGTAGTTTAAATCAAAAGTTGAGAAAAAATACGATAAGAATCGAATTCGCTTTTTATTTTTTTGCGGCGAATTCAATTTTAAACTCGATTTCGATTTGAAATGTATCTAATATTGTATGGAAAGATATTTAAATAATTTTTTATGTGGAACTGATTTCTGAAAAAATTATTTTGGATTTTTTAAACAAATATTTTTCGATCAACAATCAAAGCGTGGATTTTTGTAAAAAAATTTTTTGGATATAAAATCAAGGCGTGGATATTTTTTTTTTTGGATAAAAAATTATGGCGGGAATTTTTTTAAAAATATTTTTGATCAACAATCAAGCCTTGGGGGTTTTAAAAAAAAAATTTAATAATAATCATTTTTTTTTTAAATATTTAAATTTCAAGAACCAAAGCGTGGATTTTTTTAAATATATATATTTTTTTTGATAAAAATCAAGGCGCGGGTATTTTTTTGTATAAAAAATTATGGCGAGGATTCTTTTAAAAATATTTTTGATCAACAATCAAGGCTTGGGGTTTTTAAAACATATTTTTTAATAATAATCATTTTTTTAATATTTAAATTTCAAATTAAAAAAAATTAAATTTCGATCTTATAAAATTAGGTTTAAAAAAATATTTGAATTTGGATTTAAAATTTGTATATTGTTATTATTTAAATTCTTTTTTTAATTAAAAAATATATTTAAAAATGTATGTGAATATTTTTTTTTTATATATTGGCCTTGAAAGTTTTGGTATTATTTAATATATATATATATATATATATGATTCCGATAACGGAAATGGTGTTGCATCTTTTATATACAACATCGGTGGCATTTTAAAACATCAACAATGATTTTAATCAACATTGTTTCCTGGCACTCTTGAACACTGAGCTAAAGAAGCAGTTAAATATCGCCTCGTTAAAAAGACCACCTAGTCGGAGGGCAAGATTGCAACGACAAAAATCTGCCTGACAAATTGATCATAAAATATACGATTAATTTCCTTAAAAAAAAACAACAACGAAACGACCACTACAAAAAAGTTGAGCTGCATTATGTACTTAAAGGTTAATTTACATATACGACAATTGCCGAACTTGGGGGGTAGGGTTTATTAAGGCCCCTATATAAGAAGCCTTTTTTATAAATCAACGTAAAGATAAAAATAAATAATAAAGTACGCTTTTTACACAAGAAAGAGTCGAGTTGATATAAAATATAAAAAGAGATGCGGAAGACGGGAAATAATCCCAAACAAAAGTAAAAAAATACCCCTTTGAAACCTGAGGGCCCCCTGAAAGTTTTTTAAATCCTTATTGAAATTTCCCTCCTGCCCCTACATTAAACTGTACATCTTTTTTATACTTTTGTATGTATGTGTAACTACATCGATCGGCCATTAATTAAAGGAACATGCTTTTAGTGCAAAATAAGCGGTGCTTTACAATCGCTAACGAGCTACATTAATTTAATAGCTTTTAAGAAATCAAAACGACAGATACAACGATAAAAGACAATAACAACAAAAACATAATGCTATCTGATCTGATCACAATTCATCATTTGGACGACAGTCAAACATAAACACCAATTGATCAACTTTTTTGGTGAGAGAGAAGGGGCAATTCAGATTCCATGCATTAAAAAACCTGCCAGGGATGACAAAAAAAAAAACAAAAACTTCCAAAAAACTACGCCAACAAGTCTAAAGGAAATCACTTAAACGGTGAATGGTCTGGTCCACTGCATTTAGTTTTACAAACAAAAGACTTAAGAGACGTTTTGTTTCATAGTAAATTAATCTTATATTTTTTGATGTTTTTTGTTTTTATTGCAGGACTGCACGTGTGTTGTATTGTGTGTTTTTGTTTGATTGTTGAGAAATTTTAACAAGTGTTTTTTTTTTCGAAAAAAATAAATCCCAAAAAATCGATGGGGAGATACATCAAACAAAAACCAGCCAACTGCTGCCGCCAACAAACATGGCTTGATTTGTTAGCGGTATTTCTTATTTTTTTATATACAAAATATTTTTTATCATCTTTGCAACAAGTTTTTTTTTGCTTTCCGTTATAGTAAGAAACGACTTCACAATAAAAAAACCTTGAATTTTTCATTAGCACGCTCGAAAATACTAGAAAAAAAAAACCGATAAACCGTTTAGTATCTGAATTTCCATAATTGTCGCCGTCGTCGTTGTTTCCGTCACCTTTTATTGGTTTTGTTTAGATTTGTTTTATATACATAACATTTATTTGATTTTGTTTCGAACCATGATAATTTTGAAATTCAAATCCATGGTGTGTGTCTTTTAAGGTGTTTCGTTATTAGCGTTAAGCTATGCGTGAAGTATAGCAAGATTTTTAATTTTTTCTCTTTGAAAAAAAAATATTTTTTCTAACAATTATCAAATCGTGGATTTAAAAAATATTAATTGAATAAAAATAAAATCTTAAAAACTTTTTTTAAGACAACTTTTTCTGTATATTTGTTTTCCAAAAAAATTTTCTTCCAATTTATTTCACTGCATTTCCATTGTTGGACATTTCTCGAAGTATAACAGAAACAAAATATTCCATATAACCGTTCTACAAAACACAGTTCTTACCGCTCAACCATTCACTTTGAATAAATTTCAGGAAATATTTCTGTGTGCAAAATGAATTCTGGACACCGAGCTCCTTAACAACAAATGTCACCTTTTATTGGTAATCAGTTTTATATAAATGTCATCGTTTATTAAAAACAAAATTTTGAAATTTTGCGGTTTTTAGTTTATTTCGATTTTATGCCATTCCTGCTTCAGCTTCGTTTATCTTTATGAAATGTTTTTTTTTTTATAAAACTGAGAGTGTTTAATTGCATTATTAGCACGAGTTTGTTGGCCAACACAGAATGCATTTTTAACGTCCCATAAGAACATCATCAGCCATATAAAACAGAAAATATTAATGTCATATCAATGGTGTTGTCGTTTTAGACCTTAAGGCGTCCAAAATCGTCCATTCACTTTGTTTGGGGATTTTGTGGTTTTGTGTGTGAGTGTGTATGTTCAGTTTTTTTTGTATCCAGGATCAAGTAATGCAAACATGAAACCCAAGCCGCCAGCTTATCAATCTTGGTGATTTATCTGGCATTTTGTCATGTTCGGCTTTTATGTTTTCGGGTTTAATTTTTTTTCGATTTTTTTTTTATCCCATTTTTTGTTTTTATTTTGTTTTTGCCATTTAGTGTCATTTTAATGAATGTAAATATATCAAATTAAATGATTATCTACTTGCAAAGGCAAAAGTGTTGACGCCACTTACTGAAGCAGCCGCAGCAGCCGTAATGACTGAAGAGGCTCAAAAAAAAAAGTTAAGGCAGATGTTCATGTTAGGGTATTTTTTGTGTTATTAAAGGTACATAATTTTGTACCATATATCCAGGTTTGTCATTCATTTTGTCATTTTTTGAATTAATAAAACTATATTTTGAATTCTTTACCCCTGATTTAAATTATGTGCTTCCACGAAGGGTATTTAGTATTCGTATATATTCGTGAAATTATTTGTCATATGACAATTTACGTCATTTGTATTATCTCACTGGGTCTGTCGGTTTATCTGTGCCATATGTTAATTAGGAATGAAAACCAAAAAACGTATCCTTAATGACTGTGTAATTGGCATATAAAATTCGTGTTACACCTCAGGTAAAAATGATTACAATGACATTGCCAAAACACATCTTGTTAAACCTTTAAAGGGTTATGCAAACAATTATTGTTTGTTTTTTTTTTTTGCTGCCTTGGTGTTGGAAATATACCGCTCAAACAATTCAATTCCTCCTTGTGCGATTTAATTAAATTCCCCTGTGAGTAAAACGAATGTGCTACGTGCCGCTGCATGGTCAGGGTCAAGTACAAAATTCAAAACTGTAAATTCTTGGTATTTCATAAAAAAAAAAACTGAACTAAACTGAAATATAATCACTTTTTAGATTTCGTCTCCCAATTGTCTGTCTTGATATCAGAAATTGAAACACGTATAGCCTTTTGGATTAAATGGCTTATGGAAGGAAACGTTCTTTTAAAGCTTATTGGAACATGCCAACAAAAGTTGAACAATCTGAAACATATTAAATTTAAATGTTCTCACGTTTAAGTAAAAATAATCATAAGTTAAGGTCTCAACCATTCCGTTGAATAAAAAAAACAATCTGGAAAAAATATTCAACAAAGAATATAGGCTGGTCAATGGGGAGAAGAATAAGATGTAATCACTTTTCATTAAATAATAAATATAAATAATCGAATGGAGGACTATATAATACC